GAAAAATTACATTTCCACATTAAAATGTATTAAAATCACATTCTCCCTCCATTTAAAAAATCCAGAATTAATAACTGTGCAAATATTTTCTTATATCAAAAGTTTAACTACTGAACACACGATGTCTCCCGGCTCAGTGAGTCCCCCCTCCAGTGTTTGTGCACTTGTATTGTTGCATACTGGATCAGCAAGTTCTGATCCACATCAACCCTGTGACGAGTTCTCTGTGTGGTTGTTTGCTGAATACATTGCGTCTTCACACATTTTTGCTTTTTACTCATTAATCTTATCCCGCGTCCATCCAGTTGTCCCACAAACCCAGTAAGTGCTCTCCAGCCCAAATCCGCCGTCTGGCCTCTCAGGTGGATGGTTCTCGCCTGTGGGAGACTCACCTGCGGCCCATCCTGATAGAGAGGCTCCCAGGAACACAAGGCAGCCTGGCTGTACAGCAGGTGTGTGTGAGAGTATTTATAGCCCCCTCCTCTTTATACATTCTCCCTTAATGTTCCTCTTTAATGCCCCCTCCCCTCCTTCTTTCAGCACATCACCTCCACTCTGTCTTCGCTGTCTGCTGGCTGGGCCATAGACTTAGACTCCTTCCAGTCTTCGACCCCTCGTGGCCAGGTGGCGTTCACCAACATCGTAGCCACTCTGGACCCTTCGGCCCCTCGCAGGCTGCTCCTGGCCTGCCACTATGACTCCAAGGCTCTGCCTCCGGACCCCCAGGCCCCGGGGAAGGTGTTTCTGGGGGCCAGTGACTCGGCAGTGCCGTGCGCTATGATTCTGGAGCTCGCCACCTCTCTGGACGCCCAGCTTCGATCATTCAAACAGCAGGTGTGTATCGTAGAAATGTGACCACCTGACCTGAATAAAGTTAGAGTTTGAACATTGTTGGGAACATTTGGGATAATAGAAGACCACAACTCAACAAAATATATACATAGGTCTAGTATTTATAGACATTTTACATATTCTATCTTTAAATGCTTTCTTGTGTTCCTTCCAGTGAGAGAAAAAGTCTGACATGCTGACAAATGTAGTTTTTCTCTTTTTCCCCCCGTAGACTCTCATTTCCCTCCTTGCCTCGCTGCCTGCAGTATAGGAAAGAAAACGCTGACTCCAGCCCCTTATTTTCTTTGCAGCAGTCATCTGTATATAGCAGTATCTCTCCAGAGGCTGTGATTTATGTAGTTACTGTAGGAGAACACACTGCAACATCACTGCGGAAGGAGAACCTGGTCTTCAGTGTATTTTAATTTGATTTCCTCCTCCAGAAACTTCCAGTGTCTCTTCAGCTGGTGTTCTTCGATGGGGAGGAGTCCTTTGAGGAGTGGACCGCCACGGACTCGCTGTACGGCTCCCGTCACCTGGCCGAGCGCATGGCCAACACGCCTCACCCCGCGGGCTCCACGCGCAACACCATGCTTCAGGCTGTGGTGAGGAAGCAGAAATACACGCCCTTCGTGGTCTTCCTCGATCCAGACACACACACACACACACACACACACACACACACACTCTAAATTATGTATGAGGCTGAATTTAGCGACTGCCTGCTGAACAACACAGGCCGGTTTTACAGTAGCAGAAGGTCTGTCTAACTAACTCAGTGGTTCTCAACCTGGGGTCTGAGGACCAACAGGGGTCCGTGAGGAGGTTCTAGGGGGTCCACAGAAAAATGGGAATATTTAAATATTATTGAATTGACTAGAAGTTAATTAAATAAGTTATGTAATAACTAAATCTCATCAGGCGGGACTATTTCTTAGCTGATGTGCATCAATACAGGGGGTCCTTGCATGTACTTTGATTAAAAAGAAACTCAATATTCAGCAGCCTCTCTCTCTCATTAACTTCCTCTCCAGGACCTCTTTGTGCTGCTAGACCTGCTCGGCGGTCCTGACCCACTGATTGCCAATCACTTTGATAACACGGCGCGCTGGTTCGACCGCCTGATTGCTGCAGGTAACCACCGCCTGTACCTTTTTTTTTTTTCATGTATATTTAAAATCCCTAATCTGTTGAACGCCCTAACTCCGCCCCCTCGTCCCCTCAGAGAAGAGACTCCACCGACAGGGTCTTCTGACGTCTCACCCCTCAGAGCAGACGTATTTTAGGAAGGACGTTTACCTTGGACCTGTGCAGGACGACCACATCCCCTTCCTTCACAAAGGTGAGTGAAATGTATTACTGCAGACTGAAAACTGCACCACAGGACGTATGTGGTCATAAATAATATAAATACATTCAGTCATCGTCCTCGTCCTTCCTCTACAGGTGTCCCTGTGCTACACGTCATCGCCACTCCTTTCCCACAGTTCTGGCACAAGCTGGACGACACAGAGGAGAACATGCACCGACCCACTGTGGTGAACCTGACCAAGATCCTGGCTGTGTTTCTGGCTGAATACCTCGGCTTCTGAACACCAAACGCAGTATTCGTGCTGAAGATCTCTTATGTTTTTTTTTTGTTTTTTTTACCCCACACTGGAGTGGTAAGTGCTGTTTGTCCCGCGGATGACAAATAAACAGCACACAGGAACCAGCTCAAACTTTACCAAAGACTCGGGCCATGCTGGACTGACCTCGTCTCTGTGGTTTCATGTGAAGAACAAGGTGGAGACCCCATGTCTAAATGCCCCCGGCGTGTGATGCGGACAGAAAGAGTCTTACATAAAATGTTAATAGTTGTGGTAAACATGGTACCGGAGGAACAGTTGGGAAAGTCTGTGAATTCATTTTTTTTTGTTTCATTCCTGTGAAGAAGAAAAAAAAACAATAGCCGTAGCATTTATTGACTCCGTTAATATGATCAAGATGCACTAACGTCTTCTTAAAGACGGACTTTGTAACCAGCTGCTGTGAACACTGTTCATACAGTGACAAAGGTGAGCGACAGCCAGGTCATATCTGTGAATATTATATATTATATTGACTTTACCTTCACTCGAGTGATGTCCTCTCGGCCTTACAACCTGCTGTTCTTAACTCTGCTACCTATTACTGTACGGCTATATATTGCACATTTTGTGTCAGAGTGAAACCTCTTAAAAAGGTGTAAGTGAAACGTCTGCAATAAAGTTAAAGTTTTATTCTGTTTCACTTAGAATTTGATGACATTTTAGGGACGCCAGAAACACTGGAAAATGCTGTTCGGTAACCGATATAAAACATATTCCCAGCCCGTCTTATCTTCCCTGTAACAACCTGATTGTTATGAATGTTTTGATACCATGTGGGAACATTAATAATGAGTTAGAGACCCTCCAAACATCACGGCTTTACAGCAACGTCTCTGAACTGGTGTGTTATGTTTTGTGTGGTGTTCTGTATGTGTTCAAGTCACGGGACAATATCTGCTATGTTGTGTTTGTTTTACTGACACCAGACAATAGACTTTACATTAAAGAAGAACTGTTACACCAACACAAAGTCACACAGTGAACATCTGAAGGCCTCAGTTGATGTGATGTAGAGGGGGTGGTGGGTGAGAGAGGGGTGGAGGTGGATGGTACTGGGGTTGAGGGCTGCCAGGACATGAACAATCATTGTCAGAGGAAGGGTAGAGCTCTCCTGAGGTTCCTCCAGAGGAAGGGTTTTGGAAACTGAATGAAGAAAAAGACAAGAGTAGATCATGTCTTTATTTAACCACCAGAGGACGCTGTCATATTGTGTAAAAAAAGGAGTAAAATTAGACAATTTGTGCAACAGGAAGTTAAAAATTAAACCATTACAGGACAACGACAATTAAAACCCAAAAATAATCGATGGACCACTAAAGTCTGTGCAAGTGTTTTAATTAATTATTTTAAGTCTACTAACACACAGCACTGGGTTACCAGGGTTACCAGAAAATGAAGAGAAGTTGTGTTTTTTTTTATCAGTTGAGAAAACAAACGGATGTTATCTCCTAATAGACCTTTTTCACAGCAGCCATTTTAACGTAAAATAGTAGGGTAAGAGTACAGGTGTTACCAATTGCACTAATTAAGGTTGTCCTGTAACAAAACTGAAAAAATGCAAATCAGATCAATTTTACGTAAAATTTACGTCGTTTACTATTTTAACCGACAGCCGTTAAATTAACCGTTAATTAGTTCCTAGAGACAGAACGCCAACGGTTGCTGTGGTCACCGTGTATCCCTCCGCGTCCTGTGGTTTCGGCGTTTACTATCTTGTATAAATTACTTTATCCTGTTTTAAAGTCATCTCAATATTTGTAATATTAGTAAAACAACTTGCTGTTGGTACGTAGGAGAACCGTGGGTTATTAAAATGGGACGATTCCCTACCGGGTGACCTGCTGCCCTGGTACTGACCCGGTAGCCTCCGTGGTTCGGTCCCTCTGCCGGCGGTTCTTGAACCAGTTGCTCACCTGTGTGGTTGTCAGGCCGGTGGCCGCTGCTAACTCCCGCTTCTCCCGGGTAGAGGGATACGGTTTATTATGGTACCACTCCCGGAGTAAACTCCGAGATTTTTCCTGTTTAAGTTGAATAAAAAGTCAAGCATGAATGCAAAGATACACATAAAGAATTAGGGTCTTTATCTTTAACTTTATCTGAACTTTAACTACATCTTTATCAATACCAGAGCTACAAGGTTCGCTTGGTATTGATAAAAGTCACTAAAATACCTGTTTACAGTACGCACCCATATACATTACCATTCAGTGTTTATTCATGGGGAGTTGTTTTAGTAACTTCAAATGGTGGCCAAAGAAAGTGTTTAACTTCTGACAGTTTCCACCAGTGGTGTAAAAAAAAAAAGTAGTCCGACAGGTGCTTATAATAATAACGACTAATAATAATCTGTGTGTTAACGTTAAATACAAATATTAGTCCTGCATTCAAGTTTCACTGACAAAATATACTTATTAAATGTAAAAGTAGTCATGCAAAATGTCTCCTTTAAGATGATTGTATTTTATTGTTATTGTTGATACACTATTTTTATCATTTTACACTTGTAGCTGCTTGATGTGGAGCATCAACACAAGTACAAGTACATAAATCTGCTTGTGAGTATATTAATCTGTAACTAATCACATTCTGGAGGAAGATCATACACTTTGTGTAAAGTCTGCAAAGTAACTTATGATAGCCTAATTACAGAAAAGTACAATATTTGCATGCTCAAGTATAATACAAGTAAAACTGTAGTTGATTAAATGTATGTACTTATAGGTACTTTATACCACCGTTTACTGATAGCTAATCAATATTCACAATGTTAAGATCACATTTTTCTACCTTGAAACAGTAGGTGGTCTCCTCTCCATCCCAGATTGTGTGTGGTAGAGGGAACTTTCTCCTTACGCGATACTTCCCCACAGCTCCCAGGGGTCGGCCCTTCTGCCTCTCGGCCTCCATGTAGTGGGCTCTGAGCCACAGCTGCTGCAGGAGCGGTTGGCTGCGTGGGGAGAAGGGGAAGCCCTTTAGCAGGGTGTAGAGGTCAGTGAAGCGACCCTGGTGAAAGGCCACTGCGGCTTTAGCCTTCAGTACACTCTCCAGCTCCCCGGGGCAAGGAGAAGAGGAGTAGGAGTAGAGGGAAGGAGGAGGAAGAGTGCGGAGGAAGCCAGCAAGACGATCCATGCAACCGGTCTGCAGGAGGACCTCGCACACACAGGCCACCTGCTCTGCTGTGAAGATCATCGCTATGGAAAGAGGATGGTGGCCCAAAGAGTCTTGAGATGTAAGTTGAACCAAAGTCTGTGTGGAGATATTGTCTAACAACCTCTCTGAAGTTTGACCTGCGAACAGCTGAAGCCTCTGTGGAGCATTGTGGCTCGTCTGCAGACGAACAACACCTGGAGTGAACATGCATGTGTGTTTATCATGACTCATCATGCCCGGGCAGAATCAAATCGCAGGTAACCTGAGACCATCAGGGTTATAACAACACACCATGCATCCCGCCTCTTCTTGTACAAACAGAGTGAGGATCTATTGTATTGGCACTCGCCCAGAGAGAGAGAGAGAGATGGTTTTGCCTTGCAGAAATAAAAAACATTTACATAACATTTTCTTGCCAAATCAGAAGCCAAATCCTCAGAAACAACAAAGTTTTAGTGCCAACAATAACCCGCAGTGCCACCTTGTGATTCATGAGTACAAGCAAAACGAGAACGCTAACTAATACCAGATCTCTTTTTTGTAAATGTAGTTTATTACAATATTATGTAATATAAAAAATAAAATGCATTTGAATACAAAAATGAGAAAAACAAGAACCTTGAATGACAGATACAAATGATCCCTTTCATAACAATCAAAATACATTATCTTTGGTTACATCTGGAGTCATATACGTCCTGTGTCAGGTAGGAGGAGAGTAGAAACATATCCCAGGCTACAAACAAACAGGGCTACAAATGTGCGTAAGCCCACAGAGGCTTTAATGTCTACATACTTTGGTAAGAAATGGCTCATATAAACAAACGCAGGCTACCGTATTTTACATATAGGACACATTTCCCTTTACCCCTAACTACTTTAAATGTTCTGATTTGTTTTTTTTAACTAAAATTGATTTGTCCAAGCCATTTAATGATCTACCCAAAGGCCACAAATTACCTTAAATTTTATTAACAAGGGGTGACCTACTGTATTTTAAAATGACCTATCTGCCATTAAAATAGCAGTAATCTTAAGATTGTAAAACCTCAGCTTGCACAACAATGTGACCTTCCAAGTGAAAATGAATGTCATTTTCTATCCGCTTTATGTCTCATTTGTTTCAGTTAAAACAAGAAACCGATTGATACGTGCTTTAAATAGATTAAATGTACAAAAAAAAGACAAACAACAAACATACTAATAAAAAAAAAACCCACAAAGGCCATTATTGTAACTAGACGTGACACTGAAGTGTATTTTTTGTGTACCATAATTGGCCAAAGGTTTGACCGCTACCTGTGTTATGACAGTGCAAAAGCTCATATGATGACAGGAAGTTTTAGGTTTAAATTGACGGAGGTGTTCCATCAATTTATGACAGATTTCATCAGGAAATCAGTATCCTGCTTTCTGATTTACCTCTTTAGCTATTCTGTCAAGTGTGTGTGTTATTAAGGTCAAATTAAGAAAGAAAATGAAATTTCAGAAAAGAATATGAGTCCAACAACTGTCATAACAATACGGCAGCGCAGCGTAAACATTGTGTGAATGAAAGGTGCAAAATATACAAACAAAAGAGGAGCTAGAGTTGTGACTATGCAGCCAACACTGCCACATTATGTTTCAATGGAGATAAAAAAACACATAAATGTGGGAATTCAGAAAAAAAAAAAGTCCATAAAGTGAATCCCAAAATTTGGTCGGGTATATAGCAATTGTAAAACTGTGTAAAAAGTCAAAACATTTCAAAAACATCAAACCTGTAAGCTTTAAAATAAGGCACTTATCAATATCAACAAACAGATATTTTGGATGCTTTTGACAAACAACAATATCACTATGTGGGCTCACAGCAAATATTTTAGTGTAATGTACTGTCATGCGCATTTAAAAAACGTTTTATCTCCCAAGTGTACTGGCTTTTTAACTCAGCCATTGTGCCACATAGTGTCCTATGAAGAAACTAAACATGCATTGCATAGAGTATAGACCCTTTTATTTCCTGTGTTATATTTGTACTAATGGAGGGCAGAATTCTCTCTTAAAAACTGCATTAAATCAGTTTACTGATAAAATGAAGTTAGGCTGCGTGTTTCAGCCCCAGACTTCAGTAATAAAATACTGTTTTATAGCCCTTGAAACGATGATGTTATAATGGATGAGGAACAATTTCAAAGGTTTCACATAAAACTCAACTTGGTTCTGTGAAGAATATAATCTTCAGTATATTCCTGGAGTGCTGTCAGAAGAAATATATTGAGGCGGCTGTGAACAAGAAAAAGAACATCCTGAATGTCTGAGCTCTGGAGAGGCAGGCAGTACTCTTATTTCTAGATTTTTAAGCCTTTGCCAGATACTTCGGTGTATTTTTACTAACTACTTCTACTGCCAGCAGGAACCCCAGACATCTTTTCCAAGTACAGCTGAACTCGGTCTGCAGTCCACAAAACTGCAAAGAAGAGCTGAGAGAATAGGCAAAGCCATCGTGCCTTGCATAATAGTCTTTTTTTTTTTTCTTTTAAAAAACACACCAGGACCTGCAACTGGGCCAAGCACACTAATCTGAGTCAGTCTTCTGTCTGGATCTGATAAAACAGGAAAGGCACGTACGGACAAAAACCTCTCAGATGCAAAATCTTATAAGGCAAACCCCTGTAACTCTGCCTATCCCTGTGAAATAGAGCTGCAGAGGGTTTATCTCAAAAGTGGCAGCTAAGACCATGATGGTATCAGTCCCTAATGAGAGAGCATCATTGTTCTGTTGTGAAAGACATTTCTCAGAGGATTGACAATGTGGATTAAAAAAAGACAGCAGAGTCAGTAACCTGCTGTATGTTTCATTGTTTTTTTGTTTTTAGAGATATGGGGTTGCCAACTAGCAACGTAAACAGACTACAGGCCCAGCTCGTCATCCACAGGGACCGACTGGAGCTGAGTAAGAATCTTGGAGTCCCCATCCATCTCCTCTGGATTCCCCAGTGCCGAGTTGGCTTCCACATCGTGCTCTGACGAGGGACTTCCTAGAAGCAGCGACTCTCCTCCGGGTAGACCTAACAAAGCCGGGTCTACAGGTAGGTCCCCCTTGCCGCGGACATCAAACAGAGTTAGACTAGCTGACGTGGAAAGAGGCACAGGGCTCCAGGCTGGTTGGGACAACTGGGTGTTGGGTGTCACTCCACTGTACATGGGACTGAGGGTCAGCATACTTTCTGGAGTAAGAGCGTTTGGCGTCGTGGAGGTGACTGAATGGTCCAGCGTGTGAGGGGAGGGGATGGCGGGTGTCCCAGTCTCTGGAGCACAGTACGGTGGAGACAAGTTGATGAAGTTTAGGGAAGGTGATGTGAGGCTAATGGGGGTTGAGCCGGAGGTGGTGGAAGGCTGGGAGGCTACAGGGGGAGTGGAGGGGGTGAGAATGGGACCATTAGCGGTGATGGGTGAAGCGTCAGGGACTGGTTTGAGGGGCAAACTGGTGAGTTGAATGCCTGCTGGGATGGTCAGAATGAGCTTGCCCTGCTGGACACTCAGGTAGGGGCTTCCACCGAGGAGGAGGTTACCTGCAGCGGTGATAAAGGGAACAATGTCAGAAACAGCAGACGCACCAGTACAGCTTTTAACTACCTATACATGGAGGCAGCAGATTCATTTACAGAGCAGTACTTACAATTACATGTTTTACACAATAAACAGTTGTAATAAAGAATATGTCAATCAGGCATTAATAATAGTCTGTCTTGGTATTCTGTTTAGTTTAATTTATTAAAACTTGTTTGTGTTTTACAATCTGTTTCTCTGGTGTTTTGTGTAAGAACATATTTTTTCAGTTTATTTTAGGCATCATTTCTCAGGTGTGTTATGGATGAAACACTATCTTGTTAATCGATTTATTGTTAGATAACAGTTCATCAGTTGTGAGGGTTTAATTTAATTATGTAGGTTTTAGACTGATGATAACATGATGATAAAACACCTTGGGCTATAGTAGACGTTGTTTAACCTCATTGTGTACTATTTCTATAGCTACTGGCTAAGTGACTTTGCATCAGCTAATCCGTGTAATGAAATGCTTCTTACTTAGATTAGTTAATAGTCATCATGCACCTTCAGTATAAAGAAAAGACAACAGTTTAACAGATGCTATATAAAGAATGAAAATCTTGTTCCTTTCCGAATAAACAAACTTTAATACATAAACTCGCTATTGCAGCTCCAAGTAATTATTAGCTTCACTGTTGATTAATCAGCTGATTATTGTCTCAATTATTCTCATATATCTATGTCAGACAATTGTGAAGAATCCCAGCCCAAATTCATGTCTTAAAATTGTTTTTATCTGATCAATAGCTCAAATCCCAGAGATAATCAGTTTATTATCATATGTGACACAAAAAAACAATCAAATCCTCACATTTGAGAGGCTGGAAGTGGCAACATTTTGGCAGTTTTGCTTGAAAAGTTGTTAAAATTCTTAATAAATTCTGCAAATATCTAATGAACGCAGTGTACCTGGAGGAGCTGAGGGCAGCTGAAGGATCCCAGAGTTGAGGAGCTGCACACTGGGGGCCATGCTGGTTGGGGGACCCACACTCTGAATGGGCCTCAGCTGGTTTATCCTGAGAGGACCCTGAGCGACGCCTGCAGCTGTGGGAGCTGAAGTCAGGATCTGTAATGGCACTCCAGCAGAGGGGATGGAGAGAGAAGGACTGGCAGGTACCACTTGGGGGAAAGAGATGGTGGACGAAGTCTGAATGGGTGAGACTGGGACCAGCTGAGGCATGGAGAGGGGGACTAACTGTGCCGGTGTGGTGCCTTTGGCTTGGGGGACCGGGACTACTTGTGTCGGGGAAGAGATGGAGATAACTTGTGGCACCTGGATTTTACTGGGTGTGGAGTTTGTGGTGTGGTCCCCCAGCTGGTGGTGTGCCGTTCGCTGTGGGATCTGATTGTTGTTCAGCTGTGAGATGGAGACTATGGTTGTGGCACCTTCAGGCAGAGTTGTTGAAGCATCCTGCTGCTGTTGCACCAGTCTGTTGCCTGTGTTCACTGTCTGGGTTTGAAACTGCGGAGCTGGTGTGGTGAGAGGAGATACTGGGACCAGCTGAGGGCACTGAGACACCTGGGCTCCTGATGAGTGCTGGACCAGCTGGGATACTGGTATACCCTGGATGGAAGGCACAACCTGGGGCAGAGAGAAGACCTGAGGGGTGGAGTTGCTGGAGGAAACCACGGAGCTACAAGGGTTTAACTGGGAGCCAGCAGTGGCAAAGACAACATACTCCCCATGACTGGAGAGAGGCATGGCAGAACTGGAGATCACCATGCCTGCGGACGACATAGAGGCCGGGAGGGTGAGGGACTCCTGGTGTTGGGTGTTTTGCGTTAAGACTAGTGAGGGGAGACTGTTTGGGGAGGACAGAGTTGGTGAGGAGGGGGATAAAGATGAAGAAGAGGAAGATACTGTCTGGCTGCTGCCCTCTGAATCAGGGACACTGATGTAATCCGTTGCATTGTCGCTGACCGTCTTGGTTTGCAGAGGAATAGAGATGATGGATGGATGGTTTGAGACTGGTGTGGTGTTAGTGCTCAGAACAACCGCTGGAAGACTGCTCGGCTTGGCCTCCATGGCTGAAACCTCTTGCTCTGTCACGGAAACCGCTTGCTGCTGCATACTGATACTAGGTTTGGTTATTACTTGAGCCCCGTTCAGTATCAAAGGAGAGTTGGTTGCAACAGGACTCAGTGTGACTGTCTGGCAATCGCCCAAGCTTAGCCCGTTAATTATGACACCAGCGCCAGTGCTGGAGATCAGGGAATTCCCATTTAGGAGTAATGACTGCGAGGCTGTGAGGAAGCCACCGGACCCGTTGAGGATGAGCTGGCCTCCTGTGCTACAGGGGACGGCAGAGAGAGAGATGATGGACGCCGTGGAGCCAGCAGCCTCCTCCGGTTTGTCAGGGGCGTCGTCCATGGGGCTCGCCTCGTCGTCAGTGCTGTGGTTCCCATCAGACTCACTGGAGCAAAGGAAAAATAAATGGGTTAAATAAAAGGGGAAATGTGTGTGGCATTTAAATGCTTATAAAACACAAGCTATTGATTCCTTTTGTAATTTTATAATCCTTTAAATGTTTTGAATTTACGACATTATGTGGTGGAGCAATTTTATTGTGGCTTTATGTTTACCAAAGCTGTAAAATACAAATGTTTTGAGGTTGAACAAGAGCTGCTTACTTTTACTTTCATAAAAGATTAATCCATCGATCAGTTTCTCAATTAAATGATTAGTTGTTTGGTCCGTAAAATGTCAGAAAATTGAATAACGTTGATCACTGTTTCCCACAACCCCAAATGACGTCACAACCCAAAGTTATTCAGTTTACTGTCACAGAACCAAAGAAACCAGAAAATATTTACATTTAAGAAGTTGAAATCAGACATTTTGACTTTTACTCTTTAAGAAATGACTCAAAACTATTTATCGATTATTAAAATTGTTGCAGATATTAATAGTTGACAACTAAAGGAGTAATTGACTAATTGTTGCAGCTCTACCTTACACAAACGGACCAAGACTCATCTTTACGTATTTCATTGATTTCTGTTCAGGGGCTTCAAATCTGAATATATTATGTATTGTTTGATGCATTCATTCATTTTCTGGTTTACTAAACAGTCCAGACACATTTGCACTGTGTACAATTAGAGCTTTTCCATTAACAGTATTGGAGGAATGTCTGACTAAAATGCAGTATTTGGTATCAGAGAGTCTGTGTACCGATCTGAAACACTGTAATGGGACCCAGGTACTTTACCGCAGTGTCCTATTCACCGTTTTTTTCTCCCAGGATAGCAAAGACAACAATAGTAACTATATAGGCTTAGTACTATATGCTTGTAAAAATAATGTAATATAACATACAGTAAATATATAGATTGGTTTTTAGTTTGTAGTAAAAAATGGTATCTGAACATCCCCAGTTTACAAATATGCAAATCTGATAATGAAAGCAATGCATTTATCTGATGACAAGAAGTTTGTGTGACAAGATTTACACGATAACATCAATTATTAGAGTCAGCAGTCGAAGAATGAAGTTATTTTTCTAAATATCAGATATTTATGAGCTGGGAAAAGTACACTAGAAATTAAAAATGTACATTTTGTTCTAGTTTGCCCACTTTGTGTTGAATAGATGTTTCAGTGGTAAGTAGTTTTAATCCAACCATTCAGTATTATTACTTCCATCATCCTTCTTCCAACTTTCTGCTAAACTCACCAAATTCTGCCAGTAGTTCATTATAAAAGTGTGCAGACAGGAAGCAGGATTAGATTCCTAGAAGCTCTTTTAGGGCCTGTGTTCTGGTTAATGTGTGCAGCCTAGTCTACCATACCAGACCACCACAAACCCCCTCAAGATAAGATAAGTCAGCTGTATTCTCTCTTATCTCCCGCCCCAACCTGCTTAGTAAAATAGGGGCTGTAAAACTCCGAGATTTCAGCCCGTGTGAAACTAATTAAGCAGATTATTATTTGTTTTATTGGTTCCTGTTTACCGCCCCCACATTCCCCTTAGTTTAAGCTTTTACTTAACCTCGGTCACCCTGCAGGCCCCGGGCAGCGGTGCAGGGTTTCAGGAAACTTGAGCCACGGTGGGCGCCTGGATCTCACATTTCATAACAAAGCAACATGCTCCTGGTCTCAGACCTGTGTGGCTTTACTCCTGTCAAAAGTCAGCCCCTCTGTCCACCCTCTTAATTCATGCGATGTTATTTTTTTTTGTAGTTAATTATATTACTTTGAAGTGTAATGTGTACACAGTCTCTGTGTGTCCCCCTGTGCAGGCCTGTAGGTCTTTGTTTACCATTAGGGTTTTGGTCTGGTGGTTTCAGTGATAACTCAGAGTGATCGTTGGTGTCATAAAACAACACAAAGTAACAACCCGCTCTCAGATACACAAATGAGAGTTGAGGACAGCTGTGTGTAGCCTGTGACTTTTCACCAAGCTCAATCTATAATGCAGTAAATGTGTTTGCGGTGTTGTTTTTGTTGTTGTTGTTGTTGTTGCTCTTGCCTTTTGCTGTGGGTCCCGGACGGGGTCCTGTCCCTCTGCCTCCGGTTCTTGAACCAGTTGCTGACCTGTGTGAGGGACAGTCCGGTGACTTTGGCCAGGTTTTTCTTCTCGTCCGGAGTGGGGTACCTGTTGCTCTTATAGCACTCCTTCAGTGCATTGCGGGACTTCTCTTTAAAGCAGTACACGGTCTCCTCTCCGTCCCAGATGGTCTTGGGCAGGGGGAACTTCTTCCTGAGCCGGTACTTGTCCACTGCGCCCAGGCTGCGGCCCCGGGACCTCTCCGCCTCCTTGTAGCGGGCTTTCAGGTACAGGTCCTGCAGGAACCCATGGTTAGACTGGTGGAAGTCGTGGCTCTCCAGGATGGCGTACAGCTCCTTGAATTCTTCCCGGTGGAAAGCCACCAGTGCTTGGGCCTTCAGCAGGGTCTCGTTGCCACGTAGCAGCTCGGACGAAGGAGGTATGGTGGATAGAAATCTCCACAGGCGATCCACATTGCCCGCCTGCAGAAGGGCCTCGCAGAGACATGATACTTGGTCAGTGGAGAAACTCAGAGCCGACTTTTGGAAACTTTGGAGTAATTGTTCCGAAACTTGGACCGGATCTTCCTCTTCTTTGGGCTCCGCTGCCGTTGACTCCTCTGGGCTGTTCTCAGATTGTTCTGTAGACTCCAAAGACAAGGAAGCCATTTTTACTTTAACTTTTTTTTTTTTTTTCTCCTCCAGTAGTTCCTCCTCCTCCTCTCTCCCTCCCTCCCTCCCTCTGCAGCGCTGTGCTCTCTCCCACACTGAGCCAGTCGGCCAAACCACAACTGTGTCTGCAGACGACCAGCGATCACGCCCCTTTTAGACACTATGTACTGCCTTTGTTCAAAATTACTATTTAGATTAACCTTTGTGTGTTAGGATATTTAAACATTAACATATTTATGTCCTAACTCATTTTTTACTAGCTCGTTCCTCTTCAGTAGGGTTTAATTTCACAAACATCTGACTAATGTGGTAGATGGAACAAGTATAGGGAGTAAAAGTATGAATGTTGTAATGTTAAAATACTCCTCTACAAGTACTAGTCATGCATTCATGGTTGTACTTCACTAAAACTACACAATCGGTTGCAAGAAAAGAAAGTAGAGCGCTATTAATCAGTTAATTAATGAAATATTTTAAACCATGAATCATTTCAGTCACTTTTCAAGCTAAAATGCTAAACTTCCTCTGGCTCCACCTTTTAAAATGTGATCATTTGCTGCTTATAAAAAGGATTTATCGACTAGTGCAGAAAACAATCACTAGGTTAATTGACAATGAAGATAATTGTAAATAGACATACTAATTAGCCCCTGTCAGATTATTATATTATCAGATTATTACTGGTGTGTTACTGTGTAGGCAGCTGGTGTGCAGTGTTTCCCTCTGAAGTGTATTTTTTTTTTAGCAATTCTTTAGCTATTAACTGATTGTGTGAATGTTCAGATTTATATTCTGTCAATCTACTAATCAATTAATTGATTAATTGTTTCAATTCTACTGCAGTGCTCATATCTCAGCCAATATCTATAATGATGAAACACTTGTTTTTGATAATTCTTACTACATATTTATTTTAATAGCATCCTTAAGAGATTCTACATGTAGCCGTATCCTGTATGATTAACAATTATTATGGTTCTTTTTAATGGCAGATGTCGAGATTCAATACACACCAACACTGCTGTTCATCCAGTAACATGTAAAAGAGTTTTGATGTTTTCAAATTTCATATCATGCACTATATACTATAACATTACATCCCTCAATAGTTTTTTTTTCAGGAGATTAGAGAATGCCATATGATATTTATTCCCAAAAATAATAATAATAAAAAGACAGTGTTTGTTTAAGTATGCAGTCATCCCAGTTTCCCGACCGGATCCTATGGTTTGGTGTGTCTGCGGTGGTTTCCTAATGCAAATACTTTCACTGGAAACACAAACAATTAAGCCTGCACTAACACAGCCGGTATTATTTGCATTTGTGACATGTTTGATGTTTGTTTGTTTTACAGCAGGTGTGCAAAACATCTATTTAGACCACTTTAATGCTGTGCTATCTCTTCATTGAATATAAAGTGGCAATACTTTCTGTATATCGGACAAAGGTTTTAGGACGAGTACAGAAAATAAATGACGTAACTAGATTTTAGCACTGTTACAATGACAAAAACTGAAGGCTTTTATTTGTATGTACAGGCCTTAATCTGAAACTCACACATTAATGAATAAAACAACACTTCTTTATGATAAGATTCAAGTGCCACATACTACATGTGACCTCCAGGTGAGGTGTAAATAAGGCCAGGCAGGTTTGCAGACCTCTGTCTCCATCAAGGACCATAGGAATGTGGATCTTCACTGTGGACTGTGGGTTTGTCTCAGCCCCCCTCTGTACTCCTCCCTGCCGGGGGTTTTGTTGTAACTCCCTGCTTTGTTTGATCTTTTATCTGTCCATACATGCTCTAGTCTGTTATCTGTGTGGAGAAATACTTTTGTTTTTTAAAATGATTAAAGGAAAAGACTTGTTTTTCTGGCAGGGAGATTGTTTCCTGTCATATAAAATAACTAAATCTGCAGAATTTTTTCAAAATAGATGATTTATAAATGACAGCTAATGCAGCAATATGATTTCATATCCATAACACAGTATATAATAATCCTTTAAATGATAATAATATAATATTCTGTAACTACTGTAATTCTGTGTGAGTGGAAACCAAAATGATAATGGTCTTTTGTTAGAATTGATCATTACTGAGGCGTGGATTCATTATGGCTGGAGATAAAGCAGGTTATTAGCTCAAACATGTAGTAATATAAAGTGCAGGCCTATAATTGCTTATTACAGAGTTGTTAACTTTAAAACAACAGGCAAAATGCCTGGTTGCATCATGTATCCTGTTTAAAATACTCCACACAATAAACTCTGTGGTGGTCTTCATGTTTTAGGCTAGAAGATAGCGCCACCGTGTGTTTACATCAACCGTCACAGTCACTCCTGTCTTATGATTGGTTTTCGAGTCTGTCAATCAACCGGTAAGTGGGCGGTGCCGCGGCCCCTTTTCCCTTCGTAACGTAACACCATTGGTTGAATTCATGAGCTCTCTGCTGTGATTGGTTCTTCCCTGCCCGGGTTGGGCAGAACGTTCCAGAAAGTTGGGCGCAGCAGCAACTGCTGTTTTAATGTGGCACAACCACAGCAAGTTAAACACAACTGGCGACATCTGCTGGGCGACCTACGGTACTGCTCTGGACGGATTTAACGTGAGACCGTGATGACAGAGTCTGAATATAAGCAGTTTTCACTGGTTTCAGTATATTTCGTTCAATAAAGTTTGTGTAAAAACTCGGATCGCTTTAAAAACAGAGTCAACGGCTCTAATTTCTACCGTTAAATACTGATGACGCCTCCCCTAATGTGACGTAGCGAGGTGGGGCGATGAGGCGGTCACGTGTTTTTCTTTTGGCGTGGCGAAGCAACGCATCAAACAACGAGCTGCGACACTGAGAGCGCTGGTTACTGTGTCGAGTGGGCTTCTTCGAGCTGAACACCGCCAGAAAATACATGTAAGTAAGTGAGTGGCCCTCAGTGGGTCCTCAGTGG